TAAAATAAAATATACATTAATAAAATATATGGACTTATAAAAGTATGTAGAAATGAACAATATATATATATATATATATATATATATATATATATATATATATATAGTAGGTACATTAATTAAAAAACACATGTGTTATTTACGTATTTTACAGGGCTATATATCGTATCTTTACATATAATAAAATTGTAACTAAGCCAAATCTGTACATTAAATATTTTTTGGAAAATCTTATTGAAATAAACATTATTATCTATACATAGACCGAATCTACAGTTTTTAGAATTTTTGTCTGTCTGTTACCGCATCACGGAAAAACCACTAGAGGGATTTTAATGAAATTTGGTATGGTGATAGCTGGTTATTCGGGTCAACATATAGGATACTTTTGACCGCGGGAAAATATTACATTTCTGAGAAAAGATACAAAGACTTTAATGTAAGAGTATACAAATATGTAAAACCTAAGAATTTGGTTTTTGGACATCTGAACGCGGGTGGAGCCGTGGGCAATGCTTGTGTAATATATAAACAGTATTATGTTATACATAAACAGTATGGTAAGGTAAATACCAACTTGTTGCTTGGCAAATATCGTTAAAATTGAATTTATGGGACGTTTGGCCACATGTGTCAAGAAAAGGATTGTGGTTTGGCATTTCTAGCACGTAACACAAACCGTTGTAGATGTTACGTAGTTATAAGCATTGAATGAGTTTTTCAAAGAATGTTTTTAATTTTTTAGTTTTAGCTATAAAGTGTTATCCATGTTTTTTTTAGGCCTAGCGCGCACGAGTGACTTTTGCGTCGTAACAACAAAATTTCTATCACTATCAAAAATATTTTTTTTTTCAGTATACAGGAGTAATCTAACTGAAATCTTCACTTTTATTTGATTTAGTTTTACTTTGTCATAAATGAATTATTTCGAGAACAAGTTGTTGTGATGGAACAGAACTCTTTGCAGGTGGAAAAACGAAAATTAAATGTCTAATGTATTGACTGTTGTAATTTCCCACTTCCTGATTAAAAGTCACAGATTATACTATTTTAATGGGGGGAAAAATATCAATTATATTATCCATTTTTGTATGAAAATTTAGAGCTTCACAATCCTCTTAATTAATGCAATCGAAACAATAAATTTTATTAAAAATTAATTTTAAATAAATTTTCTTACAGAATGAATAGAAAGAAAAGATTTGGCGTTTTTATGTTTGAATTGTTTATAATATACTATAGGGATTTGTTACTTTATTAATTCCATCAATATTGTAATAATTAAATAAATAAAATTGTTATGGAGTCAACTTTGTTGATTGAATTTAAACACACTTCTAGCTTGCACTAAGATTATATTTTACTGTAAAATAAAAAAAAAACATAAAATTAAAAGAAGCATTGAAACACTAAATGATTTAATAACATAACTTTTGTTTCTCAATTCGGTATATAAGCAATGATTTTATGATTTACAATATTTTTCTCTAAAGTGCTTATGTAAACGTGTTGTACTGTTGCGATCGCAAATCCGTTGTTTCATCTTCATCTTATCCAGCGATGCGTTATTACTATGCTCAGTATGGCCGGAAAGTGATTTTTCAGTGCTCTCCTCCCCTCTTTCACATTGCATAGTTTGCATTATACATAGCAGTAGGACGATTAAGCTCAAGATTTTAACCTGCGATAAAAAATGACAATTATTTTGCAATTTTATATTGTCTTAACTCTAATTGTGTCTGTTTAAAACTCAAAGGTGTTTTTGTGATACACTAGAAACAGGAGTTACTGAATCGAACAATAAAAACTTATATTTTAACATTATTAGAACTAACCTTCAGGTTTTGAGTACAATGCGCTTAACAAAGCAAACAATTGTACCCATCGAAACTATTATGACCATTAGACCCAAGACTTTAAGGAATTATGATCTGTCAGTTAACTTGTTATTTATTATTGTTTTTGTTAAATTACTTAATTAACTGCCTCGGTGGTGTAGTGGCTAGCATACGCCTGCACACCCGGAGGTCCTGGGTTCGAGTCTCGGTTCGGGCCAAATTTACTTATTCAGTCTTTCTGTATAGTAAGCTTCAACGACAGCCCGTAATTGGGACGTTGGCGGTGTTTCACCCACGTGCCTGCGTCTGCAGTTGTGTCTTTGCGCACACTTGTGCACTATAATATCTCCTGCGCAGTTGGCTAGTCTCAATGACATTGGCCGCCGTGGCCGGATTCGGTCAGGACGACATTATTATTATATGTTACTTATTAAGCGCATTTATTACATTTTATCTAATGCTGTATAATATTAAGCATGCTGTATTGTCAGTAATAGATGGTGCTATTAATATGCGAGTATTTTTTATGTAAATTAAGGTATTTAATGGCTTTTATAAAAATTATTGCAAGTGTCGATAAATCAAAAAGAAAAAAAGAAAAAAAGATAGAAATTTCACCATTATAAACTAAATCTTTCGCAGACCCCGATGCAACATCATCTTGAAGAAAGTGTTTTTTAAAACATGTTGGAATTAGTAATAGATGTTATTTAAATACTCCTATATTTGGGTATAGCCAGCGGTTCGAAATTATACTAAGGCGCGGAATTTGGTGATTTTGGCATGTACTTATAAACTTTTTAAAGTCATTTCTTACCTTATAACCCATGTCGAATGTTAGGAAATTAACCTATTGAATGAACAATTTTAACCTTTTATAAGTGGTTAGGCACATGTTGTAAAGAGTTAACGGAAATTGTTAAAGAGGCTATATCCTTTAAGTAAGTACCAATTGAACACAATTAAGATAAATAAGTTTACAGTTAATGTACCATGCCGAATCATAGAGTCTAGGCACTGTGCTATAGAATACAGATATAATTGTTGCTTAGTGGTAATAGGTTCGATTTCTGCATAAGGATTTACTTGTATTGACCATATTTAGTAGTTAAGGCACCAGTCCAACGATACGATTACGATTTGTGAAATAATGGGCTTGATAATTTTCTTTTGTTTATTATTTTTTATATATATATTTTTTATTTTTTCCATATTAGCTGACGAAAAATGGCGATGCATCTCAAGTCGACACGTTTATACTTTCATTTTATTTTTAACACAGTACTCCGATGACAGATATTTAGTATTTATAATTTTAGGGTTCCGTACCAGAAGGGTCAACGGAATCCTATTACTAAGCCTCCGCTGTCCGTCCGTCTGTCAGCATGTACGGCGGTATCTCATGAACCGTAACAGGTAGAGAGTTGAAATTCCACACAGAGTAAGTATATATTTCTATTGCCGCTATAACAAAAAAATACAATATATATATATATATATATATATTGTATTTTTTTGTTATAGCGACATAATTATAATAAATAATATATATATATATATATATTATAATAAATAATATATATATATATATATATTAAATATATATATATATATATATTATATAAATATATATATATATAATAAATAATATAATATATATATATTTATATCCTATGTCCTTCCCAGGGCCTCAAACTATCTTCATACAAAATTTTATCAAAATCGGTTCAGCGGATATTTAGTTTTCCATTACAAAGAAACTTTTTTTATAGTTATAATGTTTATAAAGATAGCGTTGAAAAAGCAACAGTTCGAAGACCTTTTATCTTTAGGTATTCTTATTTTTCATGCTGTAGGTTTATTATAATAAGCATTCTTATCAGAAGGATATCCCACTTAAATACTAATTTAAATTAAACACAGTATTTTTTTATATAATTTAATTAACATATTATACAAGTATATATGACGCAGTCAATGTATTAATGAGTGAATATAATATAAATAATTAAGATAACTCTATCACCAGTATTAATTTACTTACTAAAAATTCTCTATTTTCTTTTCTAAATAGAGGTATTAAGGTTCGAACCGTTACTTGCATAATAATTTGAATAATGAAATGAAATGTGAAAAATTTTCAGTGCGAAAAAAACTTTCAATATATATTTGTATCTTTTGAAAAATATTATTAGTCTATATTAAAATTGATTTTCATTATATTTTATACATTTCAAATGTTTACAGAGGCCGAATCTATAGTTTTTAGAACTTTTGTCTGTCTGTGACAGACGGCTGTGACCGCATCACGAGAAAAACACTGCACAGATTTTTTTTAAATTTGGTATGATAATAGCTGGTTATCCGAGTCAATATATAGGATACTATATAGGATAATATATAGGATACTTTTTACTGTGGGAAAATATCTCATCTATTAAGGGTGCCATCGTGTCATGCATGATCCAGTCAATGCATTGTGACGATGAAAAGCCTCTAGTACCTAGTAACGAAAATAATTCAACAAACTCTTGCTGGCGGCCTAGACTCCATTATAGAAAATATAGACCAAACTTGAAATCACAAGGTAAATGAATCCTACATTATCTTTTTAAAAAATCCTACATTATCTTTCTACCTACATATCTGATTGTGATCATTTGAATTTTGTACTGGTTTTAGTCAAATAAATGTTTATTTTTTTTTAAATTGTATATGCATATTTGGTGAAAAATTACAATTTAATTAAACTCGACTTAAATTTAACTTAAGTTTTATATTTTTTGCTCAAATCTTTTAACACCTTCAAATTATTTCTTTACTTTAATATCACATTAAAATAGTTATTGTTTGAGAACATTTTTTTTATATGGAGCTATCTTTTATAATATATTCAATAAATAAAGAATTATGAAAATTAGTTTAAAAGTGGAGAAGATATCGCGTAGCATAAACACAGAAAAATCACCTCCTAACAACAGTTTCCTAACAAGGGTTTTTTTGGAGTTTTAGCGCGAGCGAAGGCGCGGGTTTGGCTAGTAATTTAAACTACATATTAATAAAAACTGTTTTTTTCCACTGCTTATTTGATAAGGCTATTTGATAAGGTTATTTCGATTATGCACTCCGTTAAGAATGATACAATAAAATTATGGCAAAACAATGTTGTCTCTCGTGCTGTTAGGGTGTGTGTGCTTCGGAACACTAGTGTCCTCTGCAGGTCCAGGTTCCTGTACCGGAGCTGGTGCATGTTCTGGTCAGGGTTCAGGATCGGGGACAGGAACGTGTACTGGAGCCAATTCCTGTTCAGGAGTGAATAGCGGTGGTGGTCAGCGCTCTTGTACCGGAGACGGTTCGTGTAGCGGAGAGGAATCGGGAAGCGGAATTGGGTCGTGCACGGGAGCTACTTCATGCGGAGGACCCAAAAGCGGTGGAGGCACGGATTCGTGCACTGGAGCTGGTTCGTGCAGAGGTGCTCGAAGCGGCGGAGGCACGGGTTCTTGCACTGGAGCCGGTTCGTGTTCTACTCCGGACTCGGGTAACTGTGACATGTGTTGTACAGTTGCAGATTCATGCTAAAAGAATGTATAGTGTTGTCATTCAAGTGTGAATTAATTAATAAAAAATCAAAATTCTAATTAAATGTTTGTTTCATTACTAATAAAATTTTATTACTATAAATCTATATTTATATCTTCTTTTTCTTCTTAAATCTATACATATAATAAAAATCTAAATGAGTCGAATCTGTACTTTAAATATTTTTTGGAAAATCTTATTGAAATACACATTATTATCGATACAGAGGCCTAATCACAGAAATACCACTGTAGGGATTTTGAATAAATTTGATATGGTAATAGCTGGTTATCCGGCTCAACATATAGGGGAAATTACTGCCATTATTTAACAACCATGCGGTGCGCAATTAAACTATTATATGATTGTATATATGTATTAAAATGTTATATGTATGTAGAGTATACTAATATGTGAAACCTAAGAATTTGGATTTTGACCATCTGAACGCGGGCGGAGCCGCGGGCAATGCTAGTTATGTATATATAATTACTTATCCTGACTGATTCATCGACGCAGAGCCTAAAGTACAAGGGTTAAAAACTTGAAAATTTGGCAGTTGTTGCCTTTTATGACGTAAAGTCCGCTAAGAAAGGATTTTTGGGAATTCCACCCTTCAAGGGGTAAATAAGGGATGGAAGTTTGTATAAAAATTTGTTATTTTTAGTGTGAAATGAACGAAAAAGTAATATTCAGCTTTAAAATAAAAAATAAGAAAATACGTAGATATATTGTGTTTCTTTGAAAATAATCCCCTAAATAGAATAAAAAGGGCGACACTTATTATAAAAATATTAGTTGGTACTTTTAATAAAGTTAATAGACCAAGAGAGAAATTTTCTTTTTTTATTATTAGGGTTTTTTTTGTGTACCTACGTATATTATTTAATTTTATTTCATTCTATTTAAATTACTCGCGGACACTAATTCTAATAGGTAACTCTTATTGAGACAAGCTCTACTACCGCTATTTTTCACACATTTTTTTACTTAATCTTTCCAAAGTTAGGAAGACAGTACAATGATAGAACTCGCATAATGTTTAGGACTTTAGAATCTTATATTATATATTAATATGTATGTATGTGTAGTGTATCAACTATCTAGTATCCATAACACAGGCCTTCATGGAACTAGATGGTGCTGTCTGTCTCAACGTGTTTAATAGTCTTCTATATAGATTATCATGCAACTCTTTAAAACTCTCAGTGAATTAGAAGTAATTTTAAAAAAATATATAAAAATAATATGAACACCAATATAATTAGATTATATTAACATTCCTTGCACGCACATAGGTACTCGTGGTATTTTTTCCAAATACCGTATACATATATTATATACACCATACAGATAGAATTTTTCGCTTAAGTTTTAATAGTATAGGTTTAGATGAATTAGTTGCTATTAAATATTATTTATTAAAAATATAGTTTTAATGTTGTTTTGTTTTCACTATAATATTGATTTTTCGTCACAATATAGTTCGTGCTTTTATATGTTATAATTTTTTTTGTTACTGGTTACTGGTGGTAGGTAGTACAGTGTATCAACTTCTATACTTTTTACATGGGGAAGCTTCGGATAAAGACTAGTAAAAAATATTGGTAAAAGTATATATGTATATACGTCAAATACAATAGAAACCAATTTAGCTTTTTTTATTTTTTTTTATTTGCAACCCAGTATACGAGAGTGTAGAACCATTACAGGATACCCGCAACCTTTTAATAAATACGCACTTCACAAGACAGCGTTTCTAAGCTAAGCATTTCTATAATATAAGAATGTATAATCTTTGCAGTGGCCATCTGTTATATTATTTTATGCATATTCAGAATTTCATTATCAAAATGATTACTGCTTTAAAATTAACAAAGAAAAACATTTTGAGGAAACTCGCATGTCTAAGAGAATGAGATGGGAATTTAATCAGTTTTCGAAAGACGTGCGATATTCGTCAAATTCGTTTTGGAAAACTTAAGGCTGTGGCCTCGTTGAATGGTTGAAAGTATTAAAATTGGAAAAGAAATAAAGATAAAAAATTAAAAAAATATATTTCCCAATAATAAACATAATATGTGTTGAAAAAACATACATTTTTTGCAAAAATTTTTTTAATAAAAAAAATTGTCTCATTGCAAGAGTTTTGGTATCTTTTTTATAAACCCAAACGGGTTCAACAAGTCCCTTGCAATACTGCCTATAGAAAAATTATCACCAGAGTCAGCATTTTCGATGTTCTTACCTTCTGTCGGTCCATTCGACATTTCTTGACATTGTATAAGCTGGATCATACATAGTAGTACGATTAAGCTGATGATTTTAACCTGCGATAAAAGTTACAAAAAAATTATTTTAGTATATTATTATATGGTACCTACTGAGTAAAAGCCTGAGGATCCGCTCGCTTCTTAAATTCTTTTTAGTTTATGATTACTTTACATTTAGGTTCTTAGATACATTTGCACATGTAGTTTAAATTCATATGTTAAAAAAACATTGTAATCCTCAATCCATCCCTAATCTAACGCCAAAATCCGCACAGTATTACACGAATATCTATACTACGAATATATTGCCTACCATTGACTAATATTACATATTAGATAATGGTTCTCGCGATACAGAATCTAGCAATTTTAATATAATTTACTTATATCTATTTTTAGATGTTATTAATAAATAAAGTATATAAACAATCCCACCAAAAATATTTTCATGTAAAATGTTGCCGAGACCATATGGCTCGCTCTGTAAAAAAGTTATCAGATCTCATCTAGAGCCAAGCTTCTAGCTCTACATGCCTTAACTCTACAAGCTCTAACTTCACAAATACTATACCTTGGTACAAATATGTGGCTTGCCTGTTTCGTTACCGTCACATGGGCGTAAGGTGAAAAATTTACTGTTTTTTACTTTCCTTTACTACAATAATTCTTGTAGTAACGATACGGCCATTGGCCAAGCCACATATTTTGACCAAGGTGTAGAGTTTGTAAAGTTAGAGTTTGTTGCTGTATGTAAAAAAGTATAAGAAAAAAATAATCACTTATCTATACTTTATCAGTTTTGAAGTTATACTTCTTTTGGCGCGTTATGAAAAATGATAATGAGAGTGATTTTTTTACGATGCAACAGAGTTGGACTACAGTATGAAGTTAGTCGTTATTGGCTACAGTGTTAAGTTAGTCGTTAAATCTCTCTTTAGTTTAGTGTGTAGAAGAAGGCACACAATATGTTTGGTTCTCGTGACAATGCACGATTACCTAAATGCCGCCATTTTTAATCCAGTATGGCGGACGTTTCTAAATAGCGAATTAACATTTATAGTGACCCTAATGATATCAAATGAAAGGGCTTGATGAGCTAAGCACAATAAGCAAAGTGACGTCATTGTAAATCTAATATGGCGGAATCCCAAAGATAGTGGACTGTTTTTTATCCACCCATGATATAGATATCAAATGAAAGTGTTTGCTGAGAAGCATACGAAAAAAAGAAAAAAAAAACATTTAAGAAAAAGTTTTAACATTTAAAAAAACAAGCTTTTATTTAAATATATGATACGGTAACTAACGAAAAAAAAACAAATATATATATATATATACATATATATATATATATATATATATATATATATATATATATATTACATTTCTATTATCTGAATAATTGTTTTAAGATTGTTTTTTTCTTTATTGATCCTTCAATTTCTAGACTCGGATTTAGAATATAGTTAAAATCAGTCTTACCTTATAACCCATGGTAAATGTTATTCAATTGTATGAATTATAACAATTTGGACCTTTTATATATGGCAATGCTAAGTTATTGTGGAAAACAATACTTCTAAATTGTCTTTAAATGAAATTGTATACGCTTTTATATCTTTTATACGCTCACTTAACATGCTTATGTTTTTATTGAAAATATTTATTTGTTTTCATTGTAACATAAGTTTAAATTATTCAACCATTTTAATTGTCGAATGAATATCTATGTATAATTGAGGCGACGCGACGTGTGCTATAGTGTGTATCCAGATGTAAACGCTAACACTAGGGTTTTGGTTGTTTAGAATATAGAATATAGAATTTATCTTTATTGATACAATTCTTAGTTTTTACATAAGCCTGTTGAAGCCTCTGACTCCCAAACTAGAATAAACCTGTATGTCAGGAGTCAGCGCCCTCTTCCATCTTTAATCATAATTGGAGGTCAATAATATTACAGTGCATATTTAACAGTAATAATTTTAGAAATTGTTTGTGAAAGAAGAAAATAAAAATAAATAGTAAAATAAATATTAACTTTAAGAGTCCGTATACCAAATTTTGCCGACTTCGCAAATTTTTTGTTCCGAACATAATTTTTCCAGTTAAGCCTAACAGGGCTCTCAGTGTCATTCGGGAAGTATTCTTTTCAGCGTTTTCAGACTTCGACACATATTTATATTATCAAATCTTAAAATATTAAATGAGTAATATATATGTACCTATATCAATTTATTTTGTGTATCTCGTAAACGGCTTTATCCCCACAAGAACGTTTTAAAATTATAATTAAAGATAAAGTTGCTTGTACAAATCAAAGAAGTATAAGTCAAATAGTAAATGTCGCTCTTTTGAAGGTAAACATCATGCTCTTTTTCAGTTTAAAATTCCATAGGTAAGCGAAACATCGCACTCTCCTTTCAAGCCGCGCAGTAGGGTAACAAAATATGCGATCAGTCACTGCCCGTGCCGGTTGGGTTAGATACATCGATCAAAAAAGTACTACTGGATCAAGATCCGGCTGCGAGATTGCTACGTTCATAGCGTTTTGAATCCATATCAATTTTTTATATATAATAAAAAAATGGATAATATGTTTTGACCGGAATGCCTATTCAAATGTGCCCGCTGGTATGTTTAATTAAATTAATAATAATTGACTTTTTGAAACAAAATCGATGCACTTGTTATTAAAATGAATTATACTCCACTTCACAGAAA